AAATTTCATTATTGATTTAATTGTCCATCATTCGATTTTTGGTACATGTAGAGAAATTAAGAGTCAATTCAAAATTCATACGCATCATCTAGGTACTGGTAATTATCTCCTCTGGTTGTGTTAACTTTAATAGCTTCATTGATTATGCCTGCCTAGATAAAATTTAACTGCTAATTAATTCATTTAAACAATAATGAAGTATTGTCAATAAACAATGGTTATTTCCATTCTTAGGTCGATACCATATTTCGGTGAGCTTGAGATAAAAAAGTTATCACAGAGTCTGCCCATGAAGAATATGGAGATAACCAATAGTATTCTAAGTCCATAAAACAATACAAAATTGGAGCAGAGCAAACACAGACCTCTAAAACATTAGAGGGCGGATCAGGTGCCATGGAGGAGTTAGCATCCCCTGACGACTGGCCACACCCGCCGTGTTCTCCTCATCGTGACCGTGAAATAATGGAAAATCCGTCGTCAATTCAGTGTATAAATAATGGATTATGATCTGTTTCATATTTGGATATTATACATATATATATGGTACTTGAAAAAGACGTCAATGGTAATCAAGCAACCAAGCTTTATGATACTGAACTGAACATGTGATGAACTTTTCAATCGTCTACTTCCCTAAATTATGCAGCAAAATATACCTTCATCACCTACATACGGAGTTTATAACTCTCAGTAGATTCGATACGCAAGAGTATGCTCAACATATGTATAATTTCTAAAACGAAATTATTGAAAAAACAAGTTAATGAAACTATAATATGAGCATTCTCGTTTAAAGTCATCATTTCATAAGTTCTACGGTTGATACAATACCTTGTCAGCAAATACAATTTATCATTGAATCGAATGCTGATTGATGTTATTCATACTAATTGTTAGGCCATTTTTTACACTCTGAATTGACGAGAGATTTTTTCGTTATTCCCGATCATGACAAGGAACACACAGCGGATGTGACTGGGGGATGTTTACTCCTCCATGGCACCTGATCCCACCTCTGATGTTTTGGAGGTCCGTGTTTGCTCTGCTCCTTTTGTATTGTTTTATGGACTTTTGAGCTTGAATACTGTATCTCCACATATATTATTATTATCCAAATTTTATTGTTTAGAGGGACTTAGAACTCAAATATTTTTCGTTATTTCCATATATTAGCTTTAGAGCACATAAATAGTATGATTAATCTCTGTACCGAACACTGTTCCATTATCATAAAAACGTTTTCTTACTATAGCACTGAACATCCAAGTAAATATTTTGGAGCTAGGCAATCTTTCAAGGCCAAAAGATATCTGCGTCACAACGTGGTATAACATAGAGATATATATGGCGAGCTATTTCTGTAGTGTTTACGATGGATCACTTCGATTTATGCTTCATGGGATTTGATCAATTTACCAACCAAGTTTATTTTAACATTTTGCAGTAAATCCAGATTATGAGAGCATTCTAATGCCTTTTTGTATGGTATTTCTGCTTGAATACCATGTCTGCCCTGCTCGGCAATCCATTACTTTTTAGCTATAATGAGCTTTTCTGATCATTTTTTTCTGTTGTCTGTCACCATAAACTTTTCACATTTTCACCTTCTTCTCAAGAACCACAGGTTCAATTTCATACAATCTTGCCACAAAGTATCCTTGGATGAAAGGGATTCATGTTTGTTCAAATGAAGAACCACGCCCTCTTCCAAGGGGAAATACGTTTGAGTTAGAGAAAAATTAATGGCATCTTTTTAAAATCTTCTTCTCACGAACCATTGGGCCAGGAAAGATTAACAACCTTGTGTGGAATTATCCTCAAATGGTTAAGATTCAAGTTTTGTTTTCAAATCCTGACGCCCATGGGTAGGGTAGGACCCAATGGAGTATCACAGTTTTTCATAGTTAAATAAAGGGAAAATCTTCTAAAGAACAACAAAGCCATGGTTGTTTTTTATTACATGTATATGGAAGTGTCCTTAGGTAGTGTAGATTCAAGTTTGTTCATATTATGACCCCCGGGGGTAGGGTGGGACCATAATGGGCAATCAAAGTTTTACATATAAGAAATATATAGGAAAAATCTTTTTGATATAAGAACAGCAACCCCATGATTGGTAATATTATCATGGAAGCATCCTTATGTAGCGTTGATTCAACTTTATTCAAATCTAGACCCCGGGGTACAGTGGGACCATAATGTTCAATCAACGTTTGGTCAATCAACGTTTTGCATAGAAATATACAGGAAAGATATTGAAAAAAATCTTGTTCTCAAAAACAGCAGAGTCATGATTGGTGATATTTTTATATGGAAGCATCCCTCTCATCAACATGTATTTAGTATCATCAAATGTAAAATAAATACATAAGTATACATATCAGATCGGGTGGTGTAGATTTGAGATAGTTCAAATCAGAACTCCTGGGGCTAGTGTGGAACACAATTTAGGATCAATTTTTACAAAGGAATATATACTAATATATCTTTTTAAAAATTCTGGAGAACACCAAATCTATGCGTGGTTAATGATTTATTTTTATATGGGACTTATAGAAGCATCCCCAGGTGGTTTAGATTCAGGATTGTTCATATCATGACCACTAGGGTTAGGATGTGGCCATTATAAGAGATCAAAGTTTTACATAAGAATATAATGCAAAAATTCTTCTTTTTTTCGGAACAGAAAATTTTGTTTTCAAATTGACATATAATGTATATTCATATGCATGTAAAGATTTTTTTTTTCAAATCATGATGTGGGGGAGAGGGTAGGAAGGGGCCATAATCGGAGATCAATTTCTTATACAAAGTAATATGTGGGGGGGATCTTATAAAGGGACATAGACACAGATTCAACTGATTTTTTTTTAATAAATCTTAATGTTTACAATTCCTAACTAAGACAACATCGAATGATCAGCAAATATTTGACATTTTTACCAAACTTAAAGTTCTTCATGATATAAACAAGGCACGTTCCTGGTTTATGTTTACATATAAAAAATATTATATACACGTATAACAAAATGAAATCCAAAAAAATCACTGAAACTTTTATTGGTATTAAAATTAACTTTTTAAAAATGATATGTCCTTTGCAACGAACTTATGTTAGTATATTAACATATGTAATCAAAAACTTGACTGTAACACGGACCATGTTTTCATAAAGAAGGTTTGGGGCTCTAAATCTATCTTGTATTTTGACAACTGAAGTTCAAATTTTTGATTATCATTAGAAAGAAATTTTGTTGAATATTTGTAAAAATGGAAAAAAATACATTTAAAAATTTTTAGCTGAAATTGAAACTTCTTGTCCCTTTAAATATGCTATACTGATATGGTGTATAAAAATCAAGCCCACCTATGGGCAGCGGAAAGGGCAAAAATTACCATTATGAGAAAACAAACAGTTAATTTAATTTCAATGACTATAAAAACTTAACAAATGATATCTAATGCATAATCAACAGACCTTTTAGCAGAACAAATATATATTAAAGCAAAATCAACGACCACGTACGTAACAAACATATATAAATGCAAAACCAACGATCATCTTTGCAGTACAAACGTACATAAAAACACGACAAACGAAAAAAATTTAACAAACGTGCACGCGGTAAATCTAGTCTTCCTGGCTCCCGACGGTCTCGGATTTTTTTTTTTTTTTTTTTTTTTGGCGATTTTTTTGTCGGTGCACAGAAACTTTTCAAACTTCTCATGCACATTTTCTTTTTAAACGAATTCAATGATCTGTAAAAACTTAAACAAATTTGCGTATTTATTACTGAATCAGCAGTATCATCTTCCAAAAAGTGATAAATGTAGTACTCCGTTATATATATGAAAACAAAAAACGGACATCGATACAGAGAGATGTAAGGTGTCGTAGATAGTAAAGGTGCATGGACACAGATTTGAAGATAATACATTCTTTATTACGACTTATATATTGATATAGCATTTCACACAAAAATATATCAAAAATATAATTTCATTTGAAAGTTATTAAAACTTCTTATTAGACGGGTTTGATTGACACACCGTAACACTCTCACAAATTTTAATTTTATTCTTAATACTTAGGAAAAGTGGTTTGCTTCAATAAATTTAAGATGAAATAAAATTAACATTTAATCTGTGTCCATGTATCTTTAGAGATATTAAAAATATTGATATTGAGAAGACATTTCTTCTCAAAAAGATGGAATTATTAAAAAAAATATACCTCAGTTTGTTGTTTTTACTCGCGATTCTACGAAAACATTGGTATTCTTTTTTCAGTGGTTTTCGCATTTATACCTGAGTACTATTTTTATCGCTTTTTGGCAGATGATACTGCTGATTTAGTAATAAATACGCAAATTTATTAAAGTTTTTATATATTAAATTTAATGATCTTTTTTAAAACCTAGAAATGTGCCTGAGAGGTGTGAAGAGTTTCTGTGCGCCGACAAAAGAGAAATCGCCGAAAGAAAAAAAACCGGGACCGTCGGGAGCCAGGAAGGCTAGATTTACCGGGTGCACATTTGTTAAGTTTCTTTCGTTTGTCGTGTTTTTATGTACGTATGTACTGCAAAGATGATCGTTGGTTTTGCATTTATATATGTTTGTTACGTACGTGGTCGTTGGTTTTGCTTTAATGTATATTTGTTCTGCGAAAAGGTCTGTTGATTATGCATTGGATATCATTTGTTAAATTCTTATAGTCACTGAAATTAAAATAATTGTTTGTTTTCTCATAATGGTAATTTTTGCGCTTTCCGCTGCCCATACCCACCACTATCTAAATTATCAATGCTGACCTAAATTGTGATTAACTAGCCCTTGTGCGCAAGTGAGCAATGTAGCCCATATGGGCCTCTTGGTCTTTTATGCAAATTCCAACAACAGCAAAAAATGATTTGATTATAAATAACTGGTAGTATTTGCTGCTCTCTCTCTCTCTCTCTCTCTCTCTCTCTCTCTCTCATGAAACCAGTCTTCTTTTTTATTTATTGGTTTAATATGCATTTTCCTCTGGTACAGATCATTGATTATTTGATCATTTTGGTTTAATCATCATTTGCGCCGACTGCAGAAGTCCATATGAACTCTTGCGAGGCCAATAGTACCAAGACATAGCATTACCAGATGTACTCGGCTTTCTGTAATACTTCCCATTCAAATTTGAGTGATTACACGCATTGTGCCACCAGCCGTTGCCATACGAGACTGCACAGTTACTTCCCCATTTATCATTATCACTGTCAGTAGTGGAGAAAAACATCCCATTGTGGTAGGATAGGTTGTCTTCTAAAAAAGGAAGAAAAGGGATGAATAATCAAATTCAAGGTGGAATGCCACACCAACTTTTTATTTTATAGTTCTTTGAGTCATCCTTTTTAAACAATGGTTTCAGCATTGAATGGTCGATATTAGCTCTTAATTATTTTAAATGATTTTTTGGTATTTTTTCATAGAAAATGCAAAAAATTATTTACATCCAAATAAGTTGTTTTCGAGTTCAAATTTTGGTGTAAATGAATGCATCATATGAAAATCTAATAAAATAACTAAAGAAAGGCTGGTTAGATTTTTTAATTTTTTTATACTGAAACTAAAACATTATTTGTGAATATCTTTTAAACCTATGGTTAAAGCCACTATAAAACTAGGCACAACTGAGGACTATGGAATGCCATATACGACAGCCAGCTGCTTACTGCCAACTGCTGACTGCTTACTGCCAACTGTCAGCTGCCTACTGCCAACTGCCACACATATTTAACTAAATTTTATATTTATATTGATATTCATTTGAATTGAAAAAAAAGAGAAAAAACAGGCGCGGATCCAGGAGATTTTTTCCAAAAGGTCACCCTGGTAAAATTAAATTGACGAAATGGCCATTATGTTTTAATTTTTGTGATATACAATATATGCCATTTATAAAGTACTTTGTTTATTTTTATATTCATTTTCTTATTTCAAATAGTTAATGAAATGCTTTTAATATCAAAAGAAGTACCATCATACACACCTCCATCCCGGAGACAACAGAACCTTTGAAGAGAGAAAATTAATAAATAAAAAAGATTTGTCGTTTCGCAGATAAAGATGGTTTGAAAATAAATTTAAATTTTCAATTATATTCTATAGTTAAAAATTTCCTCAAATTAAAGATGTATATCTTTGTGTGTTATAATGTCTCACATGCAAAGATCTTTGGGGCGGGGTGGGGTAGGGGCAATTGAAATTTGTACAGTCATAAGTTTAATTAAACGAACTAAAACTGACCTTCGACCCTCCACGTAGAAAACGCCGATCAAACATTTATATCTCTTTGTTTTTAAAATAAGAGATGTTTTACATGCATAGATTTAGAGAGAGATGTACGGATCGCCCCTCTGAAATTTGTAAAGTTATTTAAGTGCAAATTAAACCAACTAAAAGTTATTCAATGTATACTGGTAATATAAATCAACTAAAAGGAACCTTAGAACCCCCACTCCCTCCCCGCGAAAACGCGGATTCGCGTTTAGTTGGTATAAAAAATGTCATAGACATGAAGGTATGACGCATGAGAACCCCCCCCCTCCCCTTCCCCGGCCGAAATAATTTTCAATCAACGGAAAGGACTTTACTTTTTTTTCTTGTCAAGAAAATTCTAGGTTGGATCTTTTTTTAGCATGAGAGACCCTCTTGGAAAAAAAATGTTCTAGATCCGCGCCTGTTTTTTGTTTTGGCTTTTTTTGTTTTGTTTTGTTTTGGTTTTTTTTTTTTGAAAATTCATATAAATATCAATATAAAAATAAAATTTATTCAAATATGTGTGGCAGTTAGCAGTAAGCAGCTGACAGTTGGCAGTAAGCAGTCGGCAGTTGGCAGTAAGCAGTTGGCTGTCGTATGTGGCATTCCATAGAGGACCACATGTTTGTCAATCATATTTTAAAAAAGAAATTGATACGAAATTGAGAAATTTTAGAGAAATTATTTTTTTAATATTTGGACCCAACCCGATCAAAATTAAACTGATCCCGATCAAAATTAATACAAAATGAATAAAATGCTAATTGATTGACTCTTCATGTATTTACATTGAAGAAATCTATTTTATTGTCAAGTTCAATAATGTTTTAACCCTTATTATACCCAATCAGACTAGTGTTCTTAGGGAAATGTTCTTTATTTACAATAATTGTACAATTATGGTTGGGATCGGTTTAATTTTGATCGGGTTTGGCCAAAATTAAAAAAAATTAATCTCTCTAAAATTTTGCTATTTCGTTTCCATTTCTATTATAAATATGATTAATGAACATGTTCTCCCCAGTTGTGACTGGTTTTAATTAAGAAGATTTTAATCACAAGTTTTAAAAAATATTCACAAATTATGTGTTTTATTTTCATAAATATTTTTCTATTTAAATTTTTTTAATATCTATACAGTTTTTCTTTACATATTTTATTAGGTATTCATGTGATGCATTCATTTGCAGCAAAATTTTTACAAGAAAGCATCTAATTTGGATGTAAATATTTTTTTCATTTTCTTTGAAAAAATACAAAAAAAATCATATAAAATAATTTAGAGCTAATGTCGGCCTTTCAATGCTGAAACCATTGTTTGAAAAGGTTGACTCAGAGATCTATAAAATAAAAAGTTAGTCTGGCATTCCTCCTTAAGATCATTTTAGGAGTTTTACATTCTCTACATGTGCAATCAATAAGATAATTTCTGTTGGTCTGTCACTATTTTATTATAAATGAATTTGGTTCGTGTTTAAAACCAAAGGCCATGAAATTCACAATTTTGAAAGAGGCACCATTGTCCATTATAATTATGCACTGGGCAGACTTACTTTGACTACTTAATACCCAGACACAGAGCAGAGGAACAACGAAAATATGCATTTTCACTATATAATCAGCAATGCCCCACCCCACAGGAACCCATGACCTTGGGACCACACATTTCACAATTTTGAAAAAGACACCGTTTCTCATCAGAAATATTTGATCAATACCAGCAAAAATCAGATTTAAAATCATTAAATCATTTTCAACATATAATCAATAGAGTCCCCACCCCCACCCCAGGCACCCCTGCCCATGGGCTTTGAAATATACAATTTGGAAGAAGCACCCTTAGGGTTGCTCATCATTACCAGCGGTATGAACTTAGGTTATCAGTTTAATTAAGAAATAACGTATCATTTTTGAGTTTTATTGGGATGTAAAACGGGTTGGTCACATGATCAAATTCCATAAAGCCCGAAGTTGACCCCTATTATAATATTAAATTTATCTACGGAACATTTTTTTCTAATATGACTCATCAATAAAAGAGACTCAAAGCAAACAACCCATATGCACCCGATTCAGCTCGGAAATTCCAATGGGTCTGGGTTTTTGTCGTCTTTACAGATTTATATTGTTTGTAGACTAACGTTTCTGAAGATCTATCACTGTTCTATGTCGTAACATTTTGCTAAGACAAATGTTTTGAAATGAAAACTGTACATACTGAGTCCAGGAGATCCCTTAAATCCGCCGACATTTAGTTTATATTTGTTGGATTTGTTGTTAACAATAAATGTGGTGTATGTAGCGTTTCCCTTATCTCCCGAGAATCTGGCCACGTTTATCCGTAACTTCTGTTTTCCTGCCTTAGTTAGAGCATGTATTGCATCATTTCCTAAAATTGAATATATAGACTTTTTATTTACATTGAAAAGATTAAATGATTTTGTCATTCCAAAACAAAAAAACAAAAAAAAGCCTTTCCTCTCTATTTTTTTTTTCTTCAAATTTTCTATTTCAAACTGTTACTTAAATGCACGAATGATAAAGAAATTTGAAAAAAAAAAATCAATTATTCATAGTTTCATAACCTAGCCAATACTCGTGGGTAGGATTTCCAAATCCCTCTGCAAAGTCTGTCCATTTCTTTCCTTGAAAATCCGTGGAACCATCGATTCTCCTTTGAATTACCTACATGAAAAGAACAAATGCGACTGAATTGCTATAAAGAAATATCAAATGAATGTTTACATTCAATAAAGGTGTTAATGATCAAGAATGCAAATGTAAATGTGACTTACAGTGAAAATATCAAATTGGGGGGGAAATGTTAAAGTGACTAACAGATTTTTCGAAGTGCAGCATGTTATACTTTGTAAAAAAAAATCGTATTAATAATGCAAATACATAACCTATTCTAACTGGCACGGCTCCAAGATCATTAACTAGGAATATACTTAAATCGAATTCAACATTAATTGCCTTAATTACTTTTAAAATGAAAAATCTTTTCTGAGTTACAGTCAAGATATTATAATTTTAAAACGTAAACTAAATAAAATCTTAGTTTATGGTCTTCAGGCCAAAACAAAGTCACTGCATATTCATAAGCATTCCTTGCAAACATTTTTGCGATATACATTGTACAGTGTAACGTCATTTGAATGATATGTGCGTTAACGTTTCATTGACAACTAATTCTTTAAATTATTTTTTTGTATTTAAGGATCCAAACTTTAGGTAAAATTTGTTGTTAGGTTTGTAAAGAATTAAATAGGTTGTTAGTGTATGGTACTAGATCATTTGAATAATAAATTGGATATTTTTTCATAGTTTAAATAAGACTTACTGTCCAGCCCCCGCCGTCTGTTGTCATGTCACAGAACACTCTCTTTTTCATGCCTTTTTCAGGATAAATTGTGTACACGCCATCTCTATTTTTACGATGTGGTTTCTTTTTTAAAATGTCAGCACAATCTTTGTACTTCATTCGAACTGTCGATAAAAGGATTACAATTACATTACCCGTATTAATATGTTTGAAACGTTTTCTTTTGCGATGATACCTCATTTTGTGATACTACAGCGAGAACGGTAACAGATAAGGTAAATAATTCACAGAACAGTGGCTAGAAAGTAGTGTGCACGTAGATATATACATATGGTGTACATGTTATGTAGTTTACGTTTAAGGGGGACAGACCATCTAATACGAGAGATAACTTTCCTAGTGACAAATTTAATATTAATAAGATTTCTTTTTATCAGAGTTTCATAATCGAGACCTTTGCGTAATCAATTTGATAACTTTTAACTTGAGATAGAAACGTGATAACTTTTAACTTGAGATAGAAACATGTCGTTCTGTTTTCCTTGCCTATTCTTTTCCAATTGACTTTTTATTTTTGACATTAAAAAAATAAATCTATGCAAGCTACATATTGAATCATCATACAAAAGCCATTGCTATATCTCGTAGCCAGCGCTACATATTGAATCATCATAAAATAGCTAGTGCTATTCATTTTGTAGCCAGCATTACATATTGAATCATCATAAAATAGCCAGTGCTATTCATCTTGCAGCCAGAGCTACAAACTGATTAATCATAATCAAAAGGGGCTCTGTCTCCTACCTAGTCCTACAAATTGAATCTTAATCATCACAAAGCCTTTAAATAAAACAAGGCACATGCAACACTGCAAAGCTTTATACTTGACTTCAATACATTAATAAAACCATTGTAATATATGCCCAGAAATATTTATAGCAAAATCAAACTATACACCAAATCAAATCCACAAGATCATAGCCCCTAATGACAATAGCTAGTGCTTTATCTCAGAGCTGGAGCTACACATTGATTCGTTATACATTAGCCAGAGCTATTTGTATATGTCGTAGCCAGAGCTACATATTGAATCATCATACAAAAGCCATTGCTATATCTCGTAGCCAGCGCTACATATTGAATCATCATAAAATAGCTAGTGCTATTCATTTTGTAGCCAGCATTACATATTGAATCATCATAAAATAGCCAGTGCTATTCATCTTGCAGCCAGAGCTATAAACTGATTCATCATAATCAAAAGGGGCTATGTCTCCTACCTAGTCCTACAATCTGAATCATCACACAAAAAAAAACTTTTTATATCTCATACCCAGAACTGCAAAATGATTCTTATATATAGTCAATGCTTTGTCTCATTTTACATCATAATCTGGGCCACAAATGATTCATCATAGAAAGTCATTGCTCTGCTCAAAACTATGGTTTAATTTCAATCATTATTCAACAGCAGTGCTGTATCTCATATGAGCTAGAATAATTGAATCATTAGTTACACATACCAAAAGTGATATATATTTTATACTCAGAGTTACCAGTTGAATCAGAACAATAGCTTATTTCCATAATCAGACCTACAAGGAGAATTAACATACACTGAGCCAGACTGATGAATATTACATTTTCAAGCCAGATCTACGCAAGGAATCATAATGTATCAAGCTCATGATACAATAGAACATATACATGTACTATGTCTCTTAGTAAGAACTGTATCTGATATCAATATTCACCAAAATTTAGTACTATGTTAAGTATCCCAATCTATAATTTAAATAAATAAACGATAACCAATGTTTGCTTTTACAGTCAAGTGTACCACAACAAGTATTTTAAAACTGTTACCAACAATAACTACATTTAGTAAAGCAAACAAAGATACATTTAGACAAAAAAAAAAAGCCTCGAAGGCTAACTTCATGATACATCTATGTGAGGCACTGCATAAGCAAGCAGCATTCCATAATCAAAGAAACTTTAGCCAAGAATGTAAATTTGCCAAATATGCTTGACACTCTTTATGATACAAACAAGTTGGATAATAAGCCAAGTAATAAGAAAAGAAATCAATAGATGTTCTGATTAAATTGATCTAATAATTAAGTAATTATTGAACAATAATTAAGTAGCCACAGCTAACTGGATCCAACTAAACCTCCAAGCCTAGGTGCATGTAGCACCATGGTAGAATATTACTTAATTGCCATTTCCATGAATATCTTAATCATGCTTATTTTTAATCATCTAAGTAACAATACATTAACATAGGGAAAACACTTTGATGATGTATAACTATTATAAGCTTACATAACCCCATGTATGCTTGTATGAGTGTGGAAGTGGATGGACTGATATCCGCACGTACATTTACAATGACCGGGAATTTGATTTAATACCCCAGTATCAATAGTCCAATGCTCTACTAACTCAGTAACTAGGGTATCTAGGGGTATGTCTACAGCATTGAGCAAAACAAATAAATAAATAAATAAACACATAAAATAAAATAACATAAACAACATTGAAACATGTATACGATGTTTGATGATCGATGTACAATCTTCTAATAAATGAACTAATTATTGGTCGGGAAATCATATTAGAACCACTTCACCTTGTTTTACATCCATGGAAGTTTTGCATGCTAATAACTATTTGTGATCATAAAAATGGATTTGTTTTAAACTCATAAAAAGTCTCAATCCTTAATCGAAGAAAATTATCAAGATCTTTAATTAATTGGGGGGATATTTTAACGGCATAATCCATATCAATATTAAAGGTTATCGATCATTGAATAATAATTGATATACATGTATTTATTGCGAGGGCTGCAATTCTTCTCAGCATTTTATTATATCGTACGTGTGTTGTTGCACAATTTTTTTTTTTTATTCATTACCACTATTTGTAAACAAAATGATATTTACATTCTACTATCTATAATAAGATTATTAGCATGACCTGCAACTTTTCTAAAAACTAATATGAATTGGGGGGAATTTTTTAAAATATGTGAGAAGCAGTCGACCTTATGATTATAATATAAATATCTTTTTTTAAAAGGATATTTCAAATTTCCTGTGCTGAAATAAAATTTCTAGTCTTTGTTCTCCTCTGGTTCCAACTGGACCCATTTCGTCATCCTGCATGGAGCAAGGAACGGGTCAGCATTCTTTTAGTCATATTGAACATCATGTAAACAAACCATGGTTCTTCCCACAGAAACATCATATTGGCATGCCATTCGAAGTTGCTAGTGTATATTTCCATGAATTAATTTTATTGAATAGTTTCTCCTTGATTGCATTCGCACCTTGTTTGAAAAATATGTGGTTCATTTCCTTTGTATGGTCAGGAATCGTCCGGTCATCTCTTAAGATTAGCCTAAGTCGATGTAGATCTAGTATTTTCTATGATAATTGGAATTTAGCCCATGGTCACATATTTTAAATCGCCAAGTAACAAATGTCACTCAGTCTTGTTATGAATCCACCGTTTAAAAGTCTGTAAATAAACTCAAAATAGTCAAGTCGAGGTGCCGTTTGAGTCTCCAGATCGCAGTGTTGACGAATAAGATAGGTCAGGCACGTGATCGCGTTGTTTACAAACCGTTGGCTATTTATTGACGATGGATTACCCCCAAAACTTTGATGTCGTTTCAATTAGCACTTCACGACATAGTTCAATGATAAATGCATTTACACAGTTCACTTACAAAATAATAGCGTTTAGGTCCTAATCAACAGCGGTTGAACTTTGTGATCTTAATCGGAGAAATTCCTCGCCGTCAGCATATAAGTGGCCATCGCATAAGTGGTCGGATCCGTCCTTCGGAGTGCACCAAAATATTCCAGTTTAAATATATCCAATGATTTCACAGAAAGATCACTGCTTGATAATATATAATTAGCAAACCTAGGTGATTTATCACGGCTCGTATTTCCAATTAAACTCAGTAAAACCTTCATCAGAAAATTGTAAACATGTTTACCGCGAAAAATAAATATGGAGACTGACGTTATCTTGCACGCATGTGCAATGGTGATACACTAGAATCAAGGGGCCTCCCACAGGGAGAGGATTCCAAGGCAAATAGATAGCAATACAAGAACTATCAGTATCCATAAATGTTTTTCTAGGATAAAAATGCTTTTAAAAGGTATGAAAATAGATCTAATATTTAAAAAATTATTAATCATTCGAATTTCTATGCTACAAATCATTTCTGAACAAACAAGCAGTGCTTCCTGCCTCATACTTTTTCATATATTTGAATTTGATACTATAGATTTTCTCTCATCGGCTGGACATCTGCACTATTGTCCGTTATAATAATTGAACAATAGATTTGTATAGCTTTATTTTTTTCGCTTGTAGAACACTGTTGTTTCTACCAGTCTATTAAGCACTATTCTATCCGTTCACGGTAGCTCAGTCGGTAGAGCGCTCGCATCGTGATCGGGAGGTCGTGAGTTCGCATCTCGGCCGCGACTGACACAGTCGATAAAATGGGTAGGAACTGTTCCTTCTCCGTGCGCTCGGCACTTTGAAGTGAAAGTTGCGGGTCCTTCGGATGAGACCTTAAAAACCGAGACCCCGTGTCATCGGCAGGCGTTGGCACGATAAAGATCCCTCTCTGCTCAATAGCCCTGAGTGCCGAGTAAAGGTCAAACTTTGAAGCCCTTTCATCGGCTTACGGTGACGTCTCCATATGAGTGAAAAATTCTCGAGAGGGACGTTAAACAATATACAATCAATCAATTAGCTCTATTCTTTGCCGTAAATTCTCACAAAATGAGGATTGGCGTGGAGTAAAATTACAAGTTTTGTCTTGATTATAGTAGGGGACATTGTAGGTAAAAGACATTTAAAATTATATTAATTAAAATTAATGCAAGATAAAGTGATGCTTACACTCCTCCATGGCACCTGATCCCACCCCTGATGTTCTAGAGGTTGATATTTGCTCTGCTCCAAGATTTGTATTGTTTAATAGACTTTTTAGCTTGAATACTGTTCGTTATCTCCATATATTTCATTAATCTATTACCTACAACAAAAGAATATACTTGATTTTATCTTAAGAAACAATTATTCTTACAGTGTTTGGAGAAGACCAACCCTCCGTCCAGTTTGTACTTCGATTTCAATGTTAGAATCATTGGTCCATTGAGGGAGGCGGACATTTCTGTGTGCTCCCAAGGGGCATGCTTCAGAAACGAACCGACTTCACCTGAATAGATATCATTTACAATAAAACCTTAAATGAGAATATACATGTAAACAATTTTCTAGACAATAAAAGTCGTGTTTTGAAATGGAAAATGTTAAAAGGATTCTTATTTTAAAAAAATAGAAAGGCTATACATATTATGTCGATGAAAGAAATTGATTTCTTTTAAAACTCGGAATAAAAGAAGTGCATTTTAATAAATATTAGGGATGGCAATTTCAACCGCTTGCCGATTAATCGGTCGGAACGATAGCAATCGGTTGGAAAATCTGCAATCGGTTAGTCGGAAAAAATAAAATACGTATATGTAAAATTTAACAAAATTCATTTTAAAATAGAAATCTCTGCACAAAGGTTAATAAGTTTGTGATCAAAGAATCTATTAAAACTGATTTAGAGGTAATTATATACAGTATGGCTCTTCGGATTGGGACTGTGAGGTAATTGGTCAGTTTGTGTTGTGTTAATTACAATGAAAACATCGTGTCGTTAATCCGACTTTCCTTATTTTTTAATGATAATAGTTATTCTTAGCACTGTTTTGTAATGTCTGTCTTTTTCAGATATCTATCTAATTAGATTACAATGATTGTTAGTTTTGCTTCGTGGCATGGTTTTCTTAGTTTTTTCTTGTCCACAGGAAATAAAAACAATACGTGTTCTAATCAATATCAAGGCATATAGAATGTTTTAACTTCTAATGTTTTACTCGCTGTCGTCTTTTTAAGTCTATATGTGTATGCAGATAGAGCTACTTACAAAAAGAATGTCAAGAAAAGTTAATATGAGTTTAAAGATGATAAAATTAACCGTTTAATCGGTCGGAAAGTCTTCCGGTTAACCGATTAGCAATTTTGTATTCGATTACCATCACTAATAAAGTAATAAATACATTTTTATGAATTTGAGGAAAAAATATTTGCTTTAAAATATTTATAAACCATGAAAAAATGAGGTACCTTTTACAAAAGGATGTGGCTTTATTCCTGCGGAATCTACTTGTAAGGGAGAAATTAAACACAGAAAACAGATCACTAAACCAAACATTCTTCTATGAAAAGTATGATAATTTGAAAGAGCTGCACAGAAAATAGCGTGTCATTAAATGTGTTTGATATATAAATGATACTGACACTGTCATGCAAATCTGTAATTAAGTTTCTAAGATATCAAAGTGATAAACTCTCTAAAATGAATGAAAAAGAATGTTTTTAAAATATTGATAAAATATTGATCTTGTATTAGAAGTAAAGATTTATATGTACCCGTTAATAGTAAGAAAAAATTCGGTATGAGTAAAAGTCCTTTTTTGTTTGGTTTAGTTTAAAGTTTTAGCAAAGCTTGATTTTGTGATGAAGATAAGCTTATGTATTCGAAATCGATTTTATTTAGAGAAATGTTGTTTCTATTTATTAAATGTACTTGGACACAAATTTGAAGTTAATTTTTTCTGAATAATATCACGAATTATATATTTTAATAGCATTTCACACAAAAATTATTTAAAAATCTTATTTCATTAAAAAGATATTAAAACTTTAAATTTTTTGGCGGGTTTGATTAACACATCCTTGCACTTTCACAAATTTTAACTTCTTTATTCTTAATCCTTAGGAAAAGTGGTAATCTTGTTGTGTATTATTGAGAAATATTAAAGCTTAAATCCAAAAAAATAATTTTATTCAGAGTAACTGTTAGAAAGAATTGTTAGAAAGCAAAACTCTTTTACAAGTATCGTCATTCCGTTGTGTACAGAGTTTAGCAAATCGAGCACACTCGTGTTATGTAGACAGTTTTTGTAAACAAGGCAAAAGCCTGTTATTGTTTGGTGTTTACGATTCACCGGGTGCGTTAAATCGCCAAAGTCTGCTCACCACAACTGCACGGACTGACAATATATTGTGTGTTTGTCTTGCTTTCGAACATGTCTACTCTGAATTTTCTGGATTATAGTATTAATATTTTTCATTTATACACAACAAGATTGCCATTTTTCCTAAGGATTAAGAATAAAGTTAAAATTTGTGAAAGTGCAAGGACGTGTCAATCAAACCCGCCAAAAATAAAAAAAAAAATTAATAATATATAACTTTTAAATGAAATAAGATTTTTAATTAATTTGTGTGTGAAATGCTATTAAAATATATAAGTCGTAATATTATAGAGAAAAAATTAACTTCAAATATGTGTCCAAGTACCTTTAAATATATAGATATGCAAACGTTCAAAAATATATTTCAAATAAACATGAGTTCAAAGGGCGCTAGCTGTCATCTGAGTATAATACAACAGTTTAGATGATCCAGAGAAGTATAAAGTACATGTACATTATATTGATGAGGAAAGCTACATTGTTCGAAAATCAAGAGAAATAGATCAACAAAATAATAATTCTAGTACTCAATTACATCTTATGAAGTAGGTTCTCTTTGTTCCTATTCATCACTTTCAGGATGAAGACTATTACAAAAAAACAGTGCTTCTGTATTAAGTTTAGTCCCACATTATTCCCATTGGGTTCTCTTGGTTTTTGAATAAATCTAGTAAGTTTTGTTACCTTAAATTACTTTAATTAAGAAACTGTTCCCAGATAGCAAGATGTTATTGGACCTTTGTTGGGCCAACAATGCTCCTTATGTTGGGCCACCGTTTGCATTCAACATTGGGCCATCGGTAATTTGCTCATCGGCCCTTAATCAAACCAACCTGTTGGCTTATTGTTGGGCCAATGTAACAGTTAATATTGAGCCACTGTTGGGCCAATGTATTATTTCAATATTGGGCAAACGTCATTTTTGTACAATTGGGCCATTGTAAGCAATTAATGTTGGGCCAACGGTAATTTGCTCATCGGCCCTTAATCAAACCAACTTGTTGGCTTATTGTTGGGCCAATGTAACAGTTAATATTGGGCCACTGTTGGGCCAATGTATTTTTTTCAATGTTGGGCAAACGTCATTTTTGTACAGTTGGGCCATTGTAAGCAATTAAAGTTGGGCCAACGGTAATTTGCTCATCGGCCCTTAATCAGACCAACTTGTTGACTTACTGTTGGACCAACGAACGGATATTATTGAGCCATTGTTGGGCCACTTATTCTTTCAATATTAGGAAAACATCATTTTTGGGCCAACGTTGGTTTGTATCTTATTGGTTCTCCATCATGACAAACCATTTGCTCTTCACTGGTTAACCATTTGTCCTCAAAATTGACAAACACATATATACAATAAGGTTATACTAGTTTTGTAGTACAGTTTAATGGTAAAAGCCCTTTAATACTATCTATATATGCTATATATGCTAGATTAATAGTTTAATACATATTCTCAAAATCTCATAGAATTGCCATCAACAAGTATTGCATTGTAGGTAGCTCTACATTGATTAAAAAACTGAGGAAAAAGAAATCAAAATATAAAATTAAATTATAACATACTATAATTTTACTGCACAGTGCATGAAAAAAACATTAATAATGAACTTAAAGTTGATGCTCACTTCAAGCGATACAGGTAGGGTTACATGACTGTATACTCCCTCTCTGATGTAAATTTATGCACAAGTTCAGTAAATTACAGGTATCAATAAGCACGTCTAACAAATAAACGAAGCCCTCCTGTTCTTAAAATAATACTAAAATGAATCCCGTCATTTCGTTTACTTACACAAAAAAATGTTTCTGGCATCTTGTTTCCCAGATAGCAGGATGTTATTGGACCTTTGTTGGGCCAACAACGCTCCTTATGTTGGGCCACTGTTTGAATTCAACATTGGGCCATCGGTAATTTGCTCATCGGCCCTTAATCAAACCAACTTGTTGGCTTATTGTTGGGCCAATGTAACAGTTAATATTGGGCCACTGTTGGGCCAATGTATTATTTCAATATTGGGCAAACGTCATTTTTGTACAATTGGGCCATTGTAAGTAACTAATGTTGGGCCAACGGTAATTTGCTCATCGGCCCTTAATCAAACCAACTTATTGGCTTATTGTTGGGCCAATGTAACAGTTAATATTGGGCCACTGTTGGGCCAATGTATTTTTTCAATGTCGGGCAAACATCATTTTTGTACAGTTGGGCCATTGTAAGCAATTAATGTTGGGCCATCGGTATTTTGCTCATCGGCCCTTAATCAGACCAACTTGTTGGCTTATTGTTGGACCAACGAACAGATATCATTGAGCCATTGTTGGGCCACTTATTTCTTCAATATTAGGTAAACATCATTTTTGGGCGAACGTTGGTTTGTATCTTATTGGCTCTCCATCATGACAACTCATTTGCTCTTCACTGGTTGGCCATATGTCCTCAAAATTGACAAATATATACAATAAGGTTATACTAGTTTTGTAGTACAGTTTAATGGTAAAAGCCCTTTGATACTATCTATATATGCTAGATTAATAGTTTAATACATATTCTCAATATTCTCATAGAATTGCCATCAACAAGTATTGCATTGTAAGTAGCTCTACATTAATTAAAAAACTGAGAAAAATCAAAATATAAAATTAAATTATAACATACTATAATTTTATTGCTCAGTGCATGAAGAAAACATTAATAAAGAATTAAAAGTTGATCCTCACTTGAAGCAATACATGTAGGGTTACATGACTGTATACTCCCTCTCTGATGTAAATTATGCACAAGTTCAGTAAATTACAGGTATCAATAAGCACGTCTAACAAATAAACAAAGCCCTCCTGTTCTTAAAATAATACTAAAATGAATCCCGTCATTTTGTTTACTTACACAAAAAAATGTTTCTGGCATCTTCATCGTGTTTACAACCGACACACAGACACAAAAAAGGGTGGAACTACAGGTATGTCACACTTTATCACAGAAAAAAGTTAGGCACTGCCACTTTCCATCTGATCCCTCTCCTAAGTCTCCATTTCCTCTTCCCGAGTCTCCTTCCCCCCCCTTCTTTTCTTCTCTCTCCGTTTCTTCCTCCCTCATCCCTGTCCTTAGTATACCTTAGCCATTCTTTGATTGTGTTCTCCATGTCTTTTTAGAATCTCCAGTAGCACTAAAATTGTAATATTTGGTACTTAATACATTTGTTACTTTTCTCAGTAAAGAGTAAACATACGATTAAATTCACAAATATATCACTATATGTTTAAGCTGTCAATTAAAGAATAACCGTCTTTTTTGTTTCATGGTGTGATTAAGTGATTAGCTTGCGTGATGAAGGCATTTATGCATAATATTTATACGCTTGATAATCATCATCAAAACAATTTTGATTCAGTGTTGCCCCATATAAAATACATGTACTGAAAATTTGTCGTTACACTGAACAAATTTTAAATGAAAGAACCGAATTCATTTTTAGTACTGAATAAATTTTGTTTTAACTTCAGCAAATTCAACATTTTCAAAATGTTTGATCATGTTCTCGACGTTAAGTGTATATAAGAAAATTAAGTGGTAGACTTCGGAAATGTATTCTACTAGACACAAATTTCAATTTAAATAAGGAGCAAATTATTAATTGTTTTGACTGTGTCAAAACACATACTTTCATTTATTTTTCTTGTATATAAACAAAAATTTTAATCACTGATAATTTATTTTGTTTCGATAAATTATAAGAATTTTAAATTTATTTTAGCTATCTTGATTTTTCAAGTAGGATTGGTTGTAGATTTATTTCTGATCGTAGAGACGATCAGATTTGTTAATATACAGATTTGTAACAATTAAATGTTTATACACATTGGACCAATGTTGGTGCAATATATCGGGCCAACATTGGGCCAAGGAGCAAAATGACATTGGGCCAACGGCATTTGCCAACATAGGCCCAATGTTCTTGTTGACGTTTCGCCAACAATGTCGCATTCATTGGGCCAATGTTGGCTCGACGTTGGGCCAATATCTGTAGAAATAACACTCTACATTGGGCCAACGTTGGCCCAACAAATCGGGCCAACATTGGGTCGATGAGCAAACTTAAATTGGGTCAATGCCATTTGCCAACATTGGCCCGATGTAACCGATTATATTGGTCCAACGTTGGCCCAATGTTAGCATGTTATCTGTACAGTGTTGACCCAACAGC